AAATGTTCAGCGACTGATGTAAATGACCAGACTGCTACAGAAGTTTATTTCCAACATTTTTAACAGATGACAAGTTAGGAATAATAAAACTAACACAATGTGAAATATGCCAAAAATGTGATTTCCACAGATTTACTTTCACAAACGTGATATTTACAACATTAAAGGTCAGTCAAATTAGAAAAAAAGATCTATTATGTTAAAATTAGGAAAAATTCCCAGCAGTTAACTTACGGAATTACCAAACCATAACAGTAGCTGGGGCAATTTACAGCATTGTACAATTTCTACCAAATGAGTTAGCTAGCTAATCTAAACATAACATGCTACATCCATTTTCCTCAAAGTAACTGTTTGTCTTACACATAGCTTTATTTTTTTTAGTTATTATTTACCACTTTTTGTTATTCTATGATTGTAATTGAGTAGGTGGACTACAAGTGAGGTAATTCATCATTTTGGGATTAGCAGCTACTTTGGCTAGCATGCTAATCTGATGTTTATGTGTTGGGATAAGTAAGAACTTGTTTGTACGAAGTGTTGCCGACTGCCCCTGAAGGCAACACTCTTTATAGCTCTTCAGAACGGCACATGGAGATTACAACAGACATTTTCAGACAGTCTCCCCTGAAGCGATTCGCCACTCAAGTGAAAAATGGCCGAAATAGTTGAGAAAGCTGAGAGCAGTGCTGCCAGCTCTTGTCCTATAAAAGTGGCTAGTGCTAGCTCTAAAAGTCACTCAAAGAGGCTAGATGATGTCATACACTGTTTTGCATATTGGTGACGAAATTGCACATTATCAGTAATCCTGTACACATTGTACTTATTTTCTATGCTATTTATATCACTCCTAACATGATTATTTTCTGAAGTCCTCATCGTATCACGAAGAATATTTCCAACAATTATTGTACTGAGGTGTGGTTTCCTTCATATGTGCTATTAATGAAAAGGTTAATAAATACTTGTAGTTACAGTAAAGTTACAAAGTGATCTCTTCATTTCAGACAAAGCACCAGAGAGTTCGCCGGTGGTGACTCAATGTTAAAGGGCACACTGAAATTCAAGTGTCATGTGGTACAAAGTTCATATGTTTAAAGAAACAGAGTGTGCACAGGTGCATCTGGTCTCGCGTTCAGCTCCACTGGTCAGTTTGATTTTGGATCTGGTTGCTGGTTGACATCCAGATTAAACCCACAAATAAATTTTTTCCATGTCCTTGCTCCTTTTTGTTAGCAAAAATCTGTGTCAGCCTACTGTCACGCGACACGCGACATGAAGCAAAGTTTTAGTTTTGTGTTACTCGCACAAATACAACCACTGGAATTTGTTTTTTGCAGGATATTGCAACTGGCCAATATTCCCTTAAACAACTTTACCTACAGTTGTGCTAACTATCTGAGGGAGGCAGCTAATGGCTAATTTGTTTTGTGGTTAAGTACAACTGATAGCTGGAATCAAGTGATGTGAACACGGAGGCTCCGTGCTCTGAGCCAGCATGAACCAAGATGGCAACACTCTTTTTTAAATTTTTTTATACGGTCATGGCAGCACATCACCACTTCACTCCTTCTAATGTTTATTTTCCAAAATAAAAGACCAACCTGAAGTACTCATGTCATTTTGCAAAGGTGGGCGGCACGGTGATGCAGTGGTTAACATAGCATGGCATACTCACAGCAAGAGGGTTCCTGGTTCGAAGCCCAGGGTGGAGTTTGCATGTTCTCCCCGTGTCAGCGTGGGTTTCCTCCAGGTGCTCTGACATGTTCTCCCCGTGTCAGCGTGGGTTTCCTCCAGGTGCTCCGACATGTTCTCCCCGTGTCAGCGTGGGTTTCCTCCAGGTGCTCCGACATGTTC